TGGGCTCCGCTGCGTCGTGGTGCTGCCGCCGTTGGGGGGATTTGCGGGTGTCGAGCTGACCCTGGAGCTCCTCGCCGCCCGGGTGCCTTCCCAGAGCATGCGGAGAGCCCGGGCTGCTCAGGCGAAAGGTATTTTTGATGGATAGGGTTTATGAGGAAGGGGGCCCCGCTCACCGAGTGATCCACTAGAGCTGCTACAGCCTGAGCATGAGGGTGAGATACAGGAGCTTTCCCTGTGGTTGGAGCCCCAAGGAATCACTTCTTCCATTCTGGTATTGGCACAGGGTAAATCTTGTTCAACTGCTCGTGTGAATTTGCTTTAAACACTAATAGATTATTGGTTTAGCCCACAAGGATTCACTGCAAGATACAGGATATACTATGGCAATTTCTGTTTACTTTTTGAGGCCCCATTGCAAGGAACTTGATAATTTAATCACCTCGACCACCTCCTCACTGAACTGTGGAAAGTCTCAGCCTAGCTATGGAAGAGGAGTCAACCCTCCAGAATTCCTTCCACCTCTTCTCATGATTTTCCTTTGCCTTTTTCATTTCTTCTAGTACCATTTTTGTTCCAGTTTACCACCACCCTGTCTAAAACTGTCCCAAAAACCTGTGTGTTGGAAATATCAGCACTGTAGCAGGTGAGGAGGAGACAGAGACAAAGCAGAGGCGAAGGTGCCACATGTCCTCTAGCTTCCTCAGAGATTCATGCCTTTTTCCTTCATGTGTTCCTGAGGACTCCAGGCTGGCAGCGTCACCCCCTTCTCAGTGCCGAGGGCTGGAGGCAGAGATGGAGCAAGCGGCTTAGCCAGGGCCATATGTGGCAAGCAATTGAATCTGGGTTCTTTCTGTCCCAGGGGGGCATCTACATCCTGAACATGCAGGAGGTGCATATTAATCTGTGTGACATCACGTGCACCACTTCAGATTTAAAATGGTCACTTGCCTAGATCTCTCAGGCTCCAGCTTTTAGATGGAGAATAGCAAACAACACAGTGTACCCAGTGGAAATGTGTTGAAAGTAAGTGGATATGGCTATTGGGGTGCAAAACAAAGCAGCAGCTGCTCTTCCATTGCTCTCCTCTCTTGTCCTCGAAGACCTTTCCTGAGTTGGCAACTTTTTATTTTATTTTATTTGTTTATTTTTTAGTTCCCAGTATAGAGTCTGCATGATGCCAGTCAGAGTTGGAAAATAAAGGTCATTTTAAAGGTTTTTTTTTTGGCCAGACTTTGCTTCAGTGGAAAGGTGGAGGAAAAAATTAGGCTGTGGAATTAGAGCATGGTAGTGGACGTGATGGATGTTTCTTTCTGCAGTAGTGCAGACAGCATCAGCAGTATTTCGGTGGAAATTTTGACTGTAAAATACATTTTGACTTAAAATAGGAAAAAGTAGTGCAGATGTGAAGTTTATCATCAGAATTTGAATCTGTAAATTACTATGTAAATGTACAGTGGAGTGATAAACATATATTGTCTGAGCCGGGGAGGTTTTGTGTGGAGGACTTTCCTGTCCAGGATCTAAGCTAACAGTTTTCAGGTACAGTTTAACAGAAATAGTTAAAAGATTTCTCGGTCATGCCTTAATTACACAGTTCTGGAGAGTCATGATTTATGTCTAGAAGTTCCTGTATTTTTCCTTCCCTTTTGCTTATTTAAGCAAGAAGTGACTCAGGCCCGTAATAGGGACCTATTAATTTTTCCCACTATTGCAGCTCATAAACAAAGTATCTCTATTTGTGTCAAACTGCCCTTTAAAAGAGGCTACTTTAACTATTACTTTACATAGTGCTCAAGTGAACTCCCTTCCTATGAAGGGTAGACAGTAAGGCTTTTTTATTTATATTTCAGCTTTTTATAGTTCTTGAGTTACAGGGAGGGAGAGTAAGTTGAAAGTGAAGAATAATTTTTGTGCCTTCTTAGTTCAAACAGTGAGTGTTGTTCCCTCCAGCACAGAGACAAACTTGACCAAACAGATCAGCAATAGGAATGTGTCTCAATGTACAGGAATGTCACAGGTAACATAGCTGTGTTGAATAAAGAACACTTAATCATCAAGGAACTATGATAGGAGCTATGCTTGTAAGCATAGCTTAACACTGCACGTAGCTTTAGATGCTTTAATAGCATTTAGTTGCCAAAATATGGATTATGCTAGTCTGGAAGAAACTGAATATGTAAAATGATTGGTTCATCATATGCTTTTCATCAGGAGCTATAATTCCTTTTACAATATGGGGGGGAGAAGAGGGGAGAAAAAAAACCCCACAAGTCTGCTAGAGTCTTTTTATTTATTTATTTTTAATTTGGTGATTTTCAGAATAGTTTATCTCTTATATTCAATGTTTATATATATATATATATATATTTACATGTTGTGATTATACTGGCTCCAACTCTGCAGTGTACAATGAAACAGGTACCTAACAATTACTGAAATATTTAGAATAACGACAAAATACACAGTTAACAGTTATTTGACTTTAAGTTCTTTTCTATTCAAACCAAAATTAAAGATACTGTGGGCTACTGGATGATTTATTTTAAGGCATGGCTATTTTTGTGCTGGAGTATGAGCTAATTACTGGACAACTTCCTTAATAGATTAAGGCTAAGTAATGAAACTCTGCAGCTGCTTTTTGAAACATTTCATTAGAAATTATAGGACACTTTGAAGAAAACTTTTATTTTACAGGTTGGTCCTCTACCTCTAAGGCATTATAATTTGAAATGTTTAAATAAACAAGAAAAGATTGCTATTTAAATGACAATCTTTTGAACGTTAATTCTGTACCTATGGCTCTAATGATGACTAATGAATCATCCCATTAGAAATTCTCACTGAAGTCCACTGGGCAGAAAACAATCAATATCCAATGGAATTGCTTTTGCAATTTTTGACTCTTTTTTCAAAAAAGTAAAAATCAGATCAATTAACTTTTTATTTTGTGGCTAGCATCAATCTTTAATACAGGTAAGACTTTCTTAGGCTATACTCATAAGCAGTTTAATTCTGTTTTATAGCACTGTAAAATAATTACCTTAGTCATACCTTAGTGCAATACAGTCTGGACCATATATGTTTTAACTGAAATAGCTGTGTTACTGGACCAGGATTTTGTCTGATATTAAAATTGTCTTTGAATATATATCCTATATTACATATGTCATGGTGTTTTGTGTCAGAAGTAGAATAGGGCATGTTTTTTATCAGTGCTACTTCATGATTTGAAGGATTGACTTGCTAGAGGCAAGTACCTTTCTCTAGCAAGAGCGGAGCTTTAAGTGGGGGGAAAAAGGAGCTCTTAGAAAAGTGCATTTCTGTTCTCCTAGGTTTGCCTGGTCTGTGTTTCTCTTCAACTAGTTAAACAGTCAAAATCTGATTTCAGAGATCAGGGAATTTTGGGTGCCCAATATCTGGGAATAGAGGCCAGAGGGTAAAACCATAAAAACTATAACACACTGTTTTTCTTTTTTTATTTCTCCTTCTTCCTAAAAGAACTGATTAATCTGGAGGGTAGCATCTTCTGACAATGTGAACTGAAGGGAAATTACCTGTCTTCAGAACAGCTCCAATTTAAGTGAAGACATTATGTTAAATCTTAACAGCTGAGTCTCATTGATAGATTAGCAATACTGGAAACAGGCGATAGGAATGTTTGCTATTGTGTGTGACCACTTCTGTTTAAACAGCTGGGTTTGCTAAATAGTAGCTTAAGAAGAAGCATGCTCTTCTCAAGATACGTATTTATGAGAGGCACAGAGGGCAAGACTACTAAAAGACAGAAGCTGAGTAAACTTTCTCACTTAAACAGCTGATGTTAATTGTGTCTCTCTCTCTCAAGCAGAGCCAGGATGACGGTTTATAGCAGGGCCATCCAGTCGGGGCATCCGAGTGAGACCCAGCCTGTGTAATGACTCCATCCACACCCACTCTCCAACAGATTTTTGTGGTTTAGTTGCTATCTGGGCATTAGTAAACTGCTGTAACCCAATCTGGTTCCTGCTGGGACCAGGAAGTTAAGACAGCTCTGTTGCAGAGGTTGCTTCAAGTGTTGCAATGATGTCATTTACAACCATTTCTTTCCTTATCTAGGAGCTAAGGAATGTGCCCCCTTTCCTATAGAGTTGCTGGTTCAGTAAACAGCTTTACTGTAGAGGAGAACCAGTTGGTGGTCTCCTCCAAGTCCACTGCAGCTGATGAGGGGTGAAAAACCCTCTTGGAGACTGCTCCTGCTTGCGTCTGGTTTTGCTCAGCTATCAAAATGAGGAAATTTTTCATTCCAGTGATCGCTGGGCTAATCATCAGCCAACATTGCACTTGTGACTAATGCTTTTGATTGATGAGTGCACATACAGGTCTTAATGAGCTGCTGTTGACTGTACATTCAATACCACAAAACTTTTTTTTTTTTTTTTTTTTTTTTTAAAAAAAAAAGGCAAGGGGGAGCCCAAACAGACTCAACTTTAAAATATTTTCTAAAGAACAGCTGTGTATTGATAAAATGAGTAATTGCTAGTCTTTATGCCTTAAAGTGTAAATATGTGCGCACACAGCAAAAGTAGTCTCATAGATAAAATCCGTTTTACCATTTATTTTATGGTGTAGCTGTTAATCACATCTTGCTTCAAGAGAAAGGGCAAAAAAAGGCCTAGGAAGATGGGCATGAATACTTGAGAATAGATAACGATAGCAGGGGGTGTTCCAGTTTGTGTGTGTGCTGTGTGCTTCAGTAAGCGATAGGCTCGGTCTTTCTCTTGCTTACTCCTAACACAGATGCTCTATTTCAGTACAGCTGCACAACATCAAATCATTATTTTTTTTAAAAAAAATCTAGATACTTTCAACAGTTTATCATTTCTCTCTAAACATTTTTAGATGCAGTAACTATGTGACATCAGAAATATTAAAAAACAGAACGTAAGTGGGATAAGAGTATGCCTTTAGTTTGTGTCAGTGCATGTGAAAGGAAAGTGCCTGTTAGCATCCCTGTGGGCTACTAATTAAAAGGAGAGAGAAATTCTTTGACAAATCTTCATGACTCTCATAACAGCCTTTAGATTTTCTAAATGCACAGTTGTTGAAACACTGTTAAACACTCCATAAATGAATTTATATTGAGGATATATACATTTTTTCAGAGTAACAGACCTTGAATGTTAATAGTGTAATTAGTGTTTTTTTTAGGTCTTGGAGAACACTCAGTTTGGATTCAGTTAATAGAAAAGCTAAGAAAATGAAACTTCTGGTATCCTGTTTGAGGGGAGCATACTAGCAACTGCTAACCTCGTACAAGTTCTGTATTAGGAGAAAACTCCAAGCAACAGCTGTTTAATACAAGCATGCCTTCCAGATAATCCAGCTCCTCTTAACTACAGGAGCAGAGGGAGTACCCTATGTCACGCAGGAAGTTGCAATGGTACTAGCTGCTCTAGAGGAACTGCACCTGGAAAATGATACGTTCTGGATACAACTTCTGAAAACTTCCTACCTTTACGAGGCCTGTTCTCTGGCTAGGAATGGCATTAGGTGTCTTGTATCTATTGCTCTGTCATTTCAGCAAAGTCTCCAAATCTGCCTGAAGAACAGTGGGTAGGGGCAGCCCTTGCTTTAGCTGATCCCTGCTAATCACACGTGTCACTTGTGGCCCTAAACAGCCACGGTAGCTTACAGCAATTTAAAAGAAAGAGCATTTTTTTTTTTTTCTTGCAAACTGAACCATTTTGAGGATCAGCTGGAAGTGGAGGTGGTGCCTGTGTACTTTCTTCAGCTTGGGAATAACCATGCTTATACCATCAAAAAGGAAACAGCTGTTATTACTCTGCTTTATTTTCGTTTAATATATCCGCTTTGAAGGGCAGAGGGTGCAAGTCTACTAATGGCAAAGAAGACTATTTTTTAAAATTTAATATTTAGGCTGCTGTTTGTATTTTGCATTAAGGCATTTTGTATTGAAGAGGATTGATTAATGAGAAGTTTGTAATACAAGGGGAAACGGGCTGATCTACTTTTTCAGAATACAGCACTTACTCTTAATGAGCAGCACTAGCTCTAACAAACCCAGCTCTCACAAATAAATGTGCACTGGTGCAGGAAATAGTCAATATGCATTATGTGTTTGGACAATTTGTGACTTCTTAGCTTGTTGTCTGGTAATTCTAATTTCATCTTTTAATTTAAATCTTATCACTTTCCTTATCTTTAAAGAGGTTCGCTTGAGCAGCCTTCATCTCTCTTCCAAAGATATAGCAGTCCAATGTGTATTAAGTTGCAGATGATCTGATCTAACAGGGTATTCATGGCAGTTGTTAATGGAGGTTGAGACAATTCTTTATATCTTGGAAACAGTAGAGGGATCAGTAGAGGCCTGCTGAAAAATGAGTTCCTTCTATCCTTGTGGAATAGAAGTCATCGTTATAGAATATAAATAAATAAATAAATAACAGAGCTTCTCAATATGACATAATATTCTCTATGTGCAAGTAATTTTTCTCCCTGTTGGTGTGTAATGCACACTTCTTTACCGGGACATAAGACCATGGTTGCTGTTTCTGCACATTCTCATGTGTTTTCAAGAATCCTTTGTGGGAAAGGAACCACCCAGCTGTGATACGGTTCTATTCTTTTGCCCTGTTATGCCAAAAAAGCTTTATTTGATCAGAAATTCTTGTCGACAGCTACATACTTTGACCTTTCACACAACACTCTGTAGATCTACATGTTTAAAGTTCATACTCATCAAAGTGTATACTTAAGATCTTTTATGTCTGTTGCTGAATTACACTAAGTATATGTATGTAGATATAACTTGTAATCATAGTTGTATTGCATATGATGGATTTCATCTATTTTCAATTGTTTGACTTTCACAGTGTGCATTCTCAGAAGCTCTATTTGATTTAGAAACTTAACTTTAGGCTGTAACTCTTATTTATTGGAAAAAAAACTTTCATTTCCTTTTGAGAAGTCTAATACTTTCTTGAGTGATAAGTAAAATGCAAGCTCATGTTATGCTAGGAATCTGGATTTTGAAAGTGATCTTTGACATTTCAACTTTTCAACTGGATTAGCAGTTCTTGGAATTTTGCATGTAATGTTTGAGTCAGTATAAATGGAGAAAGGAAGATACCTTTGACAACATAGGTTACCCTGTAGCTATCTATACTTCAGGATGACTTAGAAGCCTATAGAAGAATTGCTTTTAATAACGTTATGGAAACAGCATGGGAAGAGGATTGATTATCAGATCTATTGAAGTGATACAACATTGTGTAGTCCAAGGATCCTTTTCAGTTTTTGAATACTTTTGTGCTACTGTAGTCCTCAGTATGCCTTCAATTCTTTTAGAGCTTTGGAATTAATCGGGAACTTGGACATATATATCATTTAGTTTTATGGAAGCAACATAGGAACTGAAATCTAAAAATAAGATATTTTCCAAAAGGCTTTAAATCTGCCATTTGTTTGTATTTCAGTTATTTTTGCCTTGTTCAGAAGATACCATATTTTCCAGGATTTCTTCAAGAAATATAATTCATCTGTTAGAGAAATTACATGAAGTTAGTTGTATAGTTGGACTATTATTAGATACTGTCTAAAGTTTTATTCCTCCGGTCTTAACCAGTTTTATGAAGTGCTGATGAATTCTGGACCTTGAATCCCAGTTGTGGCTCAAGGCTTCTCATGCTGTCGGCTGCTGCCCTGGATACTACCGAACAGTTTGGGCCACTCTTTGGCTGACTGGGGCTTGTTGTACTAAATATACTTATCACAGCAATGGTAGTAAAATTGCATGTGCTGTAAACAGGAATGGTGACAAGCTGAAAAGCATCCACCAAGCCATGATTCCAGGGAGTAAGCAGCATCTGTGTTGAAACCATAGCTTGAGACTTCCATTTCTCTTGCAGGCACAGAAAAGTTCCCCTTTTATGGGGACTGGGTAGATGGGAAGAGCAATGAGCTAATTCTCATTTTTCATCATCTTATTATTTTCTTTCCTCTAATTCAGGCAACTGTAGAAGTCTTCGGACAGGGTTTTGTTGATTAATATGTTCTTTAGGTGAGGTACACAAGGGAACTAAAAGAGAATTTGTTGAGGAAAATTCTTCTACTTCAGTTTTGGCTACTGGTTACTTTCTCATTTCAGTCCCTGTGTGTGCTGAAGGGGATGGGAAAGCTATGTGGCTTAGGTTTTTTTTTTTTTTTTCTCTCTCCAGTTAGTCTGTGATAATGGCAATTGCATCAGAGGTCTGCAGTCTATTAGGGTTATTTTGTATCACTCTAGCTGCTAGTGCCCAGTTTAACTTTCTCTGTCACACATCAAAACCTCATTCTTTGTAATGTGGAACATTTAAGAGGTTTCCAATCTGGAAACACCTGTCGAGCTGTATTGTGTTTTACTGCAACACTCATATGACACAAAGGCAAGATACATTTTTTCCACAAAAAGTAGCCCGGATTTATCATCTCTGTCTTGTGATCTGAAGGTAGGCTTCAGTAATTAGATTAATAATGTTAATCAAATGTACCTATGTGTCTGTCTTCTTCCAGTATCTTCCTGTCCAATGCTTTAAATTAAGGCCATGTTGCCAGAGGTAACTACTTTCCTCTCCCTGGAGTACTTTAATATTTTTGCGCGTCAGTGTGCATGCATCTTTGTGTGTCTACTGGAGGTTTTCCTCTTACACTTCCAATTCCCCAACTTTTTTCCTTTACTTCCTGAAATTTGTTCTTTTTGTTTGCTGGAAATGGTTGTCAGGTTGCTTTTTGAGCTCTATATTTTTTAAGGTGAGAGGTTTTCAAAGACCTGCAAACAATGTGTGCAGTTGTTCATCCAGGGTGAAGTTCTGGGGAGGATATAATCTGCAAGCACGAAAGGCAACTATTTAATGTAGACACTAGAACATGGTGCAGACCCAGTTCCAAGAACTAAAAATGACTTGTTTATCATTAATTATAAGCAAATAGCTTTACAGACAGGGTTAGCTTTCCGTGGTGTAATGCTGGATGCATGGATGTCCTCCAACCTTACAGCTCACTCCAATCCCAGGTAAGTCTCCAGGAGTTGAATTCAAGGACTGAATGTGAACTCCATAGTGTGTGTGAGCAATATACTCCATTTTGGCCGCTTTAAGGCCACTGTACAAGTGCCCACAGCCCCTTGTAGAAATTATGTAGTAATCTCTGCCTGTTTTCACTCAAGATAAATAAGAAACATATGAGTGTGTGAATGGCAGGGAGTGACTAGTGGTATTTGTGTATCTCTTTGCCAAGGTACAAGGAAAGAGGTCATTGCTACTTAAAACAGCCCTGTCATGTTAGTTCCTAGCTGAGACCTTGCCAGCGAAATCGCTGAAGACAAAGGCTCTGAATTACAGTTCTGGAAATAAATATTTATGATGCAGTCAGATCCCTGAATGTAGCAGCACAAAAGAGTGAGTAAAGAATGAGATGTTTTGATAAACCTTCATTGGGATTGCTAATACGCGGCATGTGCTTGATACGCACTCTTGCCTTTCACACCCGCAGCTAGAGGGCTTTACTACTAATTTGCATTTTAAAAATGAATTCCACTTGTCACTGGATATACTTTTCTTGGCTAAATGCTCACTCTCTCAGGCTTGTTTTCAAAACAGAACAACTGTTTTTGTGAATGTGACTATCGTAAAGCTCTCCAGAATAACAGCATTCTAGGAAATTCAATACCCTCGCCTTTGGCATGAAGCTCGTCAGTGATCTTTTTCATGCCTTCCTCTTGAACCTGAGTACAGGGCTTGTCATTCCTTTTGACATGGACCGTAGAAAGAAATGCCAAGTGTGGGGATGGCCTCTGATGAGCAGGCTCCATGCTGGGGAAGAGGTGGGCCACTCCCCACCTTTGTGGCTACCTACCCTATACCCCACACTTGCATTTTGAGGATGGTGTTAGAAAATCCCATTGGGATTTCCCTGCTCATGGAAGGCAACCAGCAGAGTGAAAGTGGATGGCCCAAGGCCTGTGTATTGGCAGTCACAGCTGCCCCAGGCTGCTTCATTTGGCCCCAAAACTGCCTCAGGAAGTGGGAACCATATTGCTTGGCAAGAAGCTAGAGGAAAACTGGGAATTTTGTGGCTCAGGTGCTGTGGGGTGCAGGGCACAGTGGGTGCCATGGGCCCTGCCTACTTGCAGCTGGCTTCCCACCATGGCAGTGAAACATGGAGCAGGCCGGCGCGAGAAGGCCAGGAGAGGAAATGCAAGAGCACCCCTTTCCTTGACACTGCGTGAGGCGTGCAGAGATACCGAAATCCTCACATGAGGAATGCGAGTAAACTTCTTCATCTGGCACGTGTGGTTTACTTGAGAAATATTTATAGTCTGGTGCCTTCATGGAAGTAACTTGAGGTCCATGTTGGCCTGGTCACCAGCGGGACCACTGCTTTTGAGGCACTGACATATATAAATATATAAAGTGGGAACAAGACTTCTCGACGTGACTGAGAGTAAAGAGTTAAGGAGAATTAGCACGAATGTTTGCTGGTCAGGAGTGGCTCTTGGCTCTCCCACAGGAAGGAATAAGCACCCTCCATGCTGGGCTCGGTGGCGCTTTGCCAGTTAAAGTGTGCTGCAGGTTATCACTGTGTTTAATAAAGCTGCAGGAGCCTATGTGAGCTGTGTCAATGTTTTTTTTTAATACCTTACTAGCCAGAAGAAAAGGCTGCTGCTGCCCTTGCTTGATTAATAATGTCCAATGTCCGTGTGTCAAGGTAACTTTTCAGTGACTCTCCAGGGACCCTATAGACAGGGTAAAGGCAAGTTTTCTCTGCTCTTCTTTTTTTCAGTCAGATGCAAATTATTAAAAATGAACACACAAATCCAAAGACTAAATACTCTATAAAGAACATTTAACTCTAGAAGAACTGTTAATATTGTAATAATTCTGCTGCACTTAAAATTATTTAAGGACCACATACACTTAAAATCCCGGGGTAGTGAGGCAGAGAGATTGAAATAAGGCCTCTTAAAACTCTGCATCCGTAAATAAAGAACAAAGAATATTGGAAAGTATACTAAAAAGAAAACATTTCCAATGTGAATAGTACTGCTATAAAAATAGCCTCCTATGTTTTGACTGTTTGAAAAACTGACTCAGGCAGCCTATGTAAATGGCTTCATTGGCTGTAAGCCCAACACAGGTTCTTAGTTTTGTGTGAGTATAAGCTCTACTTGTCTGCCTGGCTTTCTCCATTTTTGTTTTTATATAGCCCTGGTTGAGATTTCTTATGCTTTAGCATGTGTTTTTCTTTCCTCCTATTTCACAAGACTCAAATAATATACCAGATTGTATAGTGAATCTTGAAATTTATGAACGATTTGTAGACGGGATTATTGTGGGTTACATTAGAAAATAATAGTTTCTAAAGTATAATAGCTATTTAGTGCTTGCCAAGCTGCACATGTACTTTTATTTAATATTTTTCCTAGTAAGTCAAATAAATAAAAAAGTGTAATCTGATTCAGCCCAGATTTTGCCAGTATATCATGTTTTTTAGTACAAATTTTGAAATTATTGTCTTGAAAATTTCTCAGGAGAGGGTAAAATATGTCTATCTCAAACCAAACTTTTGCTATTATAGTCAGTTCTTGAGTGTTCACCTGGGAAGCTTTCAATACAGGACTCATTTGGCTTGGTGATATAGTCTGATATGATCACATTTTCCAGTTCCCTCTAACTTGAAAATGCAGGGATCGAATAATAATAATAAAAAAAAGTAATCGCGATTGACTTGTATTTCACACAGAAAAATCCTACCCTCTCTCTACAGTTCTGTTTTAGTCGTGATCTAAGATACCGTGTTCTTTATCCATTTTGTGGTGTCTCCTGTAGAATTACTTAGATTGCATGACCTTTAAAATAAATGATTTTGAACTTACTGAATCACTTCAGTGATTCGGGACATAACATATTATTGCTAGGTTTGTCTCTATGTGACTCAGTGTGTTTATGAATACATTGCAGTGGAATCCTCTGCAAGGGTCTTCCTGTCCATTTAAGAAGTGTTTTTCTTTGGATTCTTCCTCTATGAAAGGTTGCTAGCATTTAAGTGAGGAAGAGGTGGAAGAATTTCTCCTTTTAAATGTTCCGTCTGTCCAAAATTGTTGAGTGTTCAAACTGAGTTGATTGAAATGTTT